CATGTTCTTTCAGTTTGAAAGTTCATATCCGTCAGTTTTAGGTGACCTTTAGGATCATTTCTTTACTTCTCTCCATTTTCTCTGGTCTCTTTCTCTGGAACCTCCAGTTAGTTAGTTGTTAGACCTGGATTGATCCTCTAATTTTCTTATCTTTTCTCTCCAACTGTCAGAGCCCCCTTTTTGCAGTTTTCTAGAAAATTTCCATATTTTCTAATCCTTTTACTGAATATTTTACATCAGCTATTTTTCTTCCATTTCTACAAATGCATTTTTGTGATTTGAAGGTTCTTTGTAAATAACCTCCTGTTGTTTCAGGATGCAGTATCTTCTCATATCTCTTTAAGGATATTAGAGTTTGGCTTTGCTTTTTTGAAATCTTTTTCTGTCCACTCATCGTCTCTGTTTTCTGAGCTTACTTTTTCCCTGTTTGTTGTTTTGGTCTTTGTCATTTGCATTAGAGGCTCTGAATGCATATTTAATAGTCAGACGCTGGGAGCTGAGCCCCACGGGCGGGCAGACCCATCTTTTCATAGGTTTCCCTGCAGGAGTTAGCACTGGTCCCTAAGTCACTGTACATCCAGGTCTTCTCTCTTTGGCTGGAGGCGCTGTGACCTAGCCAGAGGGGCGTGGTCTGACTGGAGGGGCGTGGCCTGGCCCACCGTGGCCTCATGGGAAGGGCCGGAGGGGGCGTGGCCTGGCTGGCCGGCATGGTGTGAGTGAGAAGGCAAAAGAAATCTGGGCCTACTCAGGACAAGCACTTTTTCCCCACGACAACAGTTTCCAGCAGAGAGTGAGATGACCAAAGTCTCACCAGTAGAGGAAGGTCCTACATGGCCTTCAAGGCCCCAGTGGGGAGGAGGGAGGCATCAAAAGAATGTGTGGCCCAAGACTACACTCGGGTGGAGCAGGGCTGACCCCATGTGTAGTAAAATAGAAAGGTACCAGTCCTCTCTGTGCTAGGCCCAGCCCAGCTCTTGTCACACTGCGGAAACTGAGGCCACTTAGGACCTCCTCGTTCCTGTGGTCTCCTGTGAACACACCTGGCCAGCCCCGCCCCCTGCCCCCTAGCATCTGACCCCACTGACCTGCCTGGAGCTCTCCTAAGAGGGCTTAGGAGTTTGGGCTGGAGTCAAAGGTCTCCAGGGGATTTTAGGGATCTCTTCCAGCTTGGTCTCCTGGTGACATCCACCCTCCATGTGCTCCCTGCTTGTGGACCCATCTCTGAGACCTCTCACAGAGGGGGCTGGGTGTCTGGGGGCAGGACCACCTGTGTGCCCTCGCTCCCCCCCGTCAGGGTCTTGTGGCCCCAGCCTCACAGTGGTCTCACTCGGCCTCTCAAATTCTCTGCAGTCGGCAAGGCTCCCCTTAGGGCCCAGGCCCGGGGAGTCACCTCACTCGGGAGCTGGGTCCTGAATTCTGGGTGCAGAACCGTCGGCGGTGGCTGTGCTGGCTGAAGGGCAGGTGGCCAGTGGATTAGCAGGTGCACCATCTGGCAGTGGGTGGACAGAGCCCAGCGGTGAGAGCCGGAGGGCAAGGGCACAGGAAGCAGCATCCTGAGGCCCTTGGAGCTGATCCAATATAGACCCCCTTTTACAGATGAGAAAACTGAGGGGCACAGAGGTCAAATGAGGCCCTCTCCAGCCTCACAGTGAGTTAGTGGCCTTATAGTTCTTTTTCTACTAACAGCACCAAGCAGTGAGTTCCCCCCGCTCTCTCTCACACACACACACCCCCCCCCCCGCACACTGGTTTGCCTGGCGCATCCACACTTTGATACACACATATTGGCAAAGAGTTCCAGGCACACTTTCCTGCATCCTAGACACCAGGAACGTGCTGTGGCCCTGGGCACTTGTGGGCCTGTGTGTGCTACGAGGGGGCTGGGATCGTGGGAACCCTCCGAATCTCGGGAAGTGAGAGTCTTCATCTTAGCAAGGGGAAACCGAGGCCCAGAGCCAGTGGGCAGGGCCCGGTTCCCTTGGTGCCATTTCTCTGTCCCCACCACTCCCATGAATCGTTAGAAAAATTTAAACAAACATAATATACTTGCTTGTCGATGACAGAATGCCAGGGGAACCATACAACCCGGCTGGTCTCAACGCCTGCCCGGGCAGGTGGCACGGGGAGGCTGGCTCGCAGCCTCACCCCTGCCCGCTGGCTGCACCTTCCTGGCCTCTCTGTGGCTGGGGAACCGGAACCCCTCCCCGCCCCGCCGTGCCCGCTGCCAGCCAAGCCGCACCTCACCGGCCAAGAGGCGTGCCCAGTGCCAGAGCAAACTGGGCCCGGGCCCAGCACACTTTCCAGAAATAGGTTCCTGCGAGAGCCCGAGGCTCACCCCTCCCTCCACAGAATTTCCCCCCTGCAGAGAGTCCTGTCTGTGGCCTCAGACCCTGGAAATGCTCTGTGAACGGCCCCTAAACGCCTCAGAAATGTTCACTGGGTCAGAACGGGGCTCTAGTTCTCAGCTCACCCACATCGGTCCTGCCTCGGGCTCTTCCTGCCGCCCCCAGGGCGGGGTGGCGCCCTCCTGGTCACGGAGGGGGCCTGGGCTCAGGCAGAAAAGTCGCTTTTCACAGTCCTCCAGGCCGGTCCTCCTCCAGAGATGGGGAAGGTCCGTGGGCCTTCGCTCTGAGGACAGGCACCCTCATTCATAATGCCCTGCCACCCACCTCATCGGTATGAGCACAGGGTCTCCAAGGGGCTCCTGAGCATGGTTGGGGAGGTGCGGGGGTGGAGGGAGGGGGAGGGGGTGGGGTTGGGGGGTAACGTAGGCGGTGTGGGGGGATGAGTGGAGGGTGCGTAGAGAGATGGGGTTAGGATAGTGGGTAGATGAGTGGAACCCCATTTGTTTTGATCTCTGTCTTTCCATTAAAGGCTTCTTTTAAGGCTCGGGAATCCTGAGCTGTCTGTTTTTAAGAGGGAGGCAGTGTCCGTGATTTGGCCTTGTTGACTGGGGGCCTTGGGAGACCCCGCCGTTTCTCTCAGCACCTGCGGGCCTTTCCCCTGAGGCCTGTCGCTGTCCCCAGAGAGGACCCCTCACATCTCCTGCCTGGTGCTGTCCCGGCCTCAGGGGAGCCTGGAGGCTCTGATGTCCGCTTTCCAGGTGGGCCCGGGCCCCTGGCTGCGTTATTGGCCTCATCCGCTGCGAATTCTCCTCTGCCTTTCTCTTTGCTTTGTGGATTTTTATCCCTTTTTCCTTCTTCACCACCCTTTCCTGGGAGAAGGGAGGAAGAAACATGTGGGTTCAGCACCCCCTCCCCCCGCCGCCAACATTTAAGCAGAAAACCCGCCCCCTCTCTTTCGCTGGGCCTTTGTGAAGTCTTTCCCATTCCCCGTCCCAAAACTGTATACATTCTTCTAGTTGTTTGGAAGCTTCAGTGTTTATACCTTAGTCTCTAATCTGTTTTATGTTTCGGGGTTATGGACAAGGTTTTATTGAGGGGGAAAAGGGTTCTGTTCTTTAAAAATGCTTATAAACCACTGAGCGGGCCCAGCCCCGGGGGGCCAGGGAGGGAGGTGAGGGTGAGCGGGACCTCTGCCAGCCCACGTCTTGTAAACCCAACTAGGGCTGGCGAGCAGACGGCCCCAGCTCAGCCCCCCTTGCCCTGAGGCCGGGCACCCCTGGGGAGGACACAGCTTGAACCCTGGTCCGAAGACTCCTGGCCGTCCCCCATGTGTCTCACAGAGCAATCACCACTGTAACCCAGGGACATTAATGAGGGGATTTGCTTTCCGAGATGAAGTTGGGGGACCTCTCTGAGGACAGGGGAGGCCACTGGGGAGGCAGGTATGGACACCGCTGGTGAGCTTCAGGCCTCACCGCGGCCACAGGGCCTCTGATGGTCAGCCCTGGCACACCAGGTGGGACCTACTGAGCTACCCTCATACCTCAGTGTGTCTGTTTGGCCCAGAATGAGGTTCCTGGAAGGTCAGTCAGGCTGTGAACCGAGTGAGAGATTTAGCCATCCCTCGAATTCTGGAGCAATAAAAGCTCTTGAGAACAGCTTTGAACCATCTATTGCCTCTTTAAACAGCTCCAGTCCCTGGGGCAGACAGACATAAATAGATAATTATAGCCCAGGGAGATGTGGGCCTGGGGGGTTAACTGTTACCAGTCTCCTAATTGGCCTTCCGGCTTCCCGTCCCTCCCACACCCGCCCACTGTCCGCGCTGCTGCCCAAGTGAGCTTTTAAAAATGCAAATCTGACCCTGACTTTCAGCCCCTCCAGCAGCTGCCCACTGGCCTCAGGACGCTACCCAGAGCTCCTCCTGCCAGGCCTCCAGTGTTGGGCCCCAGCCCACCGCTCCAGTCTGGGATGTGGGGGGCCCTTGGGCATGGCGGGGGGGTCCCTGGGTCTGCTCTGATTCGGCCAGCCTGCTGCCAGACCCTTCTCCACTCTTGCTTGTCTCCAGACCTCAGCCCTCTTTCCTCACCGGGCCATCATTGTGCCTCCCTCAGGCCTCCCCTTAGATGCCCCTGCCTCCAGGATGTCCTCCCTGATCACCACCTCCCCCACCCCAAACCGGCATTGCTGTTCCCCCGTGATGCTCTTTTACACATTCTGTTCTTCCAGCCCTAGTGTAGCCCTTACCAGCCTGTACCCATTTGCCCATCTCCCTCCCCAGACTGAGTTCTCAAAGGCAGGGAGCCCATCCCCTTTACCACCTATTTATCAGTTATTGGATTTTTTTGAGCCCCTACTTTGTGGGCAAATAAAATAGACAAAGACCCTGCCCTCATGGCACTCGCAGGCTGACCAGGCTCCTGGGGTGCTGGCTCGGACACTTCGCTGAATAAGCGGGCAGTACAATGTGCTGTGGGTGCTCCGAGGTCAGGCGGGCTGCCTGGAGGAGGGGGCTCTGAGGGTAAGGCCCTGAAGGCTGGGTAAGAGTTTTCCAGGCAGATCAGAGAGCTCCCCGCCTGCCGGCCCAGAGGCTGTCCTGGCGGCTGGCTGCTCTCACCCCAGGGTCTACACTCCATGTTCACCCTTCTCTTTCAGAATGCATGAACTGTACCCGGCTCAGCGACATGAGTGAGCGGCTAACCACGCTGGAGGCCAAGGTCAGACGGCCTGGGGGGCCCGGCCTAGGGAGCTGGCGGGTGTGTGTGAGGGTTGTGCATCAGGTACCAGCCTAGCCCTGGGGAGCCCAGCAGGCCCGAGCAGCCTGGTCCCAGGGGTTGGGTGCTGCTGGGGCCTCAGTGGCTCAGGGTGGCCTTCTCTGGGCTGGGCCAGCCTCCTGGGGTGGGGAAAGCCAGAAATCTGGAGGTCTTGGACAGCAGGCTGGTCTGGGTGTGGGTCTCAGTGACCGGGGCGGGGGGGGCCTGGATGCCCAGAAGGTGACCCCTGGGTGGAAAGAGGAGGGACCCCTGTCCCCCCCAGGGCTCCTGCCCCCAAATCTGGCTCCTCCTGTCCCCCACCCCCATTGGGCACAGGGCGGGGGGGCCCAGACAAGCCGATGGAAGAGGAACTGCCTGGCTCCTGTTAGCCCCCCCACCCCCCCACCCCGCTGCATCAGAGGGCGGAGCGGGTCACCCCAGAGGCTGAAGGACTGAGGAAAGGAGGAATACGGGGAAGTAGCCTTAGGCAGCATGGGGCAAGGAGACAGGGAGTAAGTCAGGAAGGGAAGGCTGTGTGATCACATCCTCAGACCTGTTCCAAAGCAGGTGTGGTGACGGGCAGGTTACCCTCGTGGACACCGGGGGCTCTGTCCCCTCTGGCTCCTTGGAGAGACAGTGCAGAGCAGGCCAAGGGTCGAGGAAGCCCGCCGTCTCTACCATCCCTCCGTGGGAGACACTTCCGGGCTGCGTCTCCCGTCACCTCAGGGCCCCTGCCTCACGTGTCTGCTGAAACTGCTCGGCCTCCATGAGGGCACCTGCCCTGTGGGATGGGGGCTGCAGGGGACTGTCCCTTAGAGCCAGACATAAGTGGGACCGAGCTCTCACCGCAGCTGTGCAATGTGCCGGCGGGGGTCAAGGGCGGCTGGGCCCGCAGGTGACATGGTGGTGGGACCTGGCTTTGGGAACGGGAGTGCCGGACCGAGGAGAGGCTCTGTGTCATCATCTCCTCGAGGCTGCCGTCCCCGTCTTACAGGGGAAGGCACAGGTGTGTGGGAGAACCCCGTGCAGAGCACACGGCATGAGAAGCCCCAGGGGGCGAACGGCCTCCCTTGTCCCCGAGGCCTTCTGCAGGTGGGAGGGTCCCCCAGCAGCCCAGACCCCTGGGCACAGGCTGGGGGTGGGGGACCCCGTACCCTCCTCGGGGCGGGCGTGGAAGCCTTCAGGGGAGAGATGCTGCCACCTGGGCCAAGCCGGGGCTGGGGAAGCCCTGGGAGGGTGGGGGGCCCTGGGGAAGATGCCGGGGTGAACTGCTGGCACCCAAGATTTCAGACAAAAGGAGGGGTCCCCAAGCCAGCTGGCCTGAAGGACATTTTCCAGATTCCTGAGGCCCTGCGTGGTTTGGCCGAGTGTCGGCCGACAGCCGTCCTGGCCCCGGTGCGGCACCTTGGGGTGTTAAAAGTCAGGGCTCTGGGGGGCGGGGGCTGGCTCCCTGGCTCCAAGGTGAAGGTCGTGACCCCTCTGCAGACCCGGGGGGGCAGCAGGAGGTGTTGGAGGAGCCCGGGATAGGCTTCCTGCCCAGCAATGGCTCTGCCCTGCCAGGTCCCTGCTCAGCCCTGGGCCTCAGTCTGCTGCCCTGTGAAATGGAAACGGAAGGAGTCACTTCGCTGCCCCTCACCGGGTTGTTTTGGGGTGGGTATATGGGGGTGAGCTTCGGGGCAGAGAAGGGGAGGTGGTCAGAGTCTGGGCTGTGCGGAGAGGTGGCTGCCACCCCTGAGGTCAGGGGTGGGCTGATCCCTGCCTCAGCTCCTGTGCCTTCTCCAGGTCACCTGCCAGTTGTGTCCCTGCCTGCGAACACGCCTGTGTCCCCTGGGGAAACTGAGCCCCTGGGAGTTCCATCAGCCCAGGTCACAGGGCCCTCAGAGGCATCAGCCTGGAGAGGGAGGGGGACGGAAGCTGGCCTAGCTGCCAGGACAGCCTCTGCCGAGGCCAGGCGCCTGCCTGCCGGGGTCAGAGAGACCATGGAGCGGGGTCAGTGGCTGTGGCCAGGCCAGTGAGAGCCAGGGGGGCGAACTCCAGATGGGGCGTCAGAAACCTGAGGGCTGGCATACGAAAGCAGCAACCCAGAGGCCTGGAAACTGTGGCTTCTGCCCTCTGAGACAAGAAGGCTGCTTTGGTGTGCCGGGAGGGACGTGTTCAGCTCTAAGTTACAGACACCCAGCCAATGGCAGCTTATTCTTTCAGGACATTTATTGTTTGTTTGACAAGGAGTCCAGCGGTAGGTGGTCTTGGGGTTGGTTTGGTGCCTTAAGAACTCAGGCTCTCCACAGCCTTCCCCTCCACCTCCTTAGTGAGTTGGCTTTTGTCCTCCTGGTTAGTGCCTCATGGTTACAAAGTGGCTGCTGCAGCTAAAGACATCACATCCTTATACCTGTTCAAAAGCAGGAAGTAGAGGTTACGGCAAAGCACCCTAACAGGCTCGTGTGTCTCATTGGCCAGCACTGGGCTATCTGCCCACCTCCTAGTCACAAGGGAGCTGGGAAAATATGTACCTGGCCAATCATGATTCCTCCTCTGGGGCACACCCACAGGTACATAATAAGGGGTTCCTGAGCCAGGCAGCCATCAGGGTCTGTTCCATCTTCACTCCCTGCTGGTGCCTGAGTTCGCAAAGGATCCAGCCCTAGGAGCTGATCTGGGAGTCCTGCCACCCTCTTCCTGGGACAGGGTCAGATGGCGGTAGGGGGATGGTGGGGTGGAAGGTCAGCAGGCAGAAGTTTCCTGACTTCCTCTCTCCCCTCCCCCTCAGTTTACACTCTGACTTCATGGACCCCATGGCCGCATGGCGTGGGAGGGAGCCCGAGGCGGGTTCCCTGTGTGAGGGTCTCAGAAGCCTCGACTTAGCTGGTCTCTGGGGCAGGAGGACGGCCTCCCGGCCAATCAGCCAGGCCGCAGTAATGTCATCAGGACCACTGGCCTCCAAGGCTGGCCACAGTCTGGATTTCTTGGGTTGAGCCCCCACACCCACTGCTGCCCGCCCTGGTGAGGTCATGCCTGCAGGGGTGGGATCAGTTTGTCCGGGAGGTCGGCCGTGGCCAGGCCCGGCGGCCTTGGACTCTGGCCGGGGCTGATGCGAACTCAGCTGTGGCCGGGGCTCTGCCCAGGTCCGTGGGCTCCGTGGGCCTTGGAGTCTGCGTAGGAGGTGCCCCACAAAGAAGCGAGCCAAGGTCTTTTGCGAGGGGGGAGGCTGCAGGTGCCAGGACCCTGGGCCACTGCAGATGGAGACCCTGAGAGTTGGCGCACGGGCTGTTGACACAAAGCGATGGTGCAGGGGCTGAGGGCACACACAAGAGGGGACACCCTCAGTCCACAGGGTCAGACAGACTGCCGGGGGGGTGGTGTGGGGGGAAGGGTCACTGGAGTCTTAGGATTGTCCCCGGGCTCCGGAGTGAAGGGAAGGGCTTGGGGGGAGGCGGAGTCAGGGCAGGAGGGGCCCTGGGGTATAGTTCAGGGTGGCTGGAGCAAGGCTGCTGAGGCCCAGGAGGAGCAGGGCAGGCCCAGAAGGGTGCCCCGAAGTGTCGGGACGCTGGTGGTTTGGGCGGGCTCCTCAAGGTTCACTTTGCAAGGTGTCCTCACCTGCTCCTGTGGGGCGGCGCCAGGAGCGGGGAGGGGGCAGGCAGGGGGATTTGGGGAGGCAGCCGGGGCCTGGGGGAGGCCAAATGCACAGGCCTGGCCCTCCTGGACGTGGGGCGGCGGAGTCAGGGAATCTAGCAGACGCAGGCTTCTGGCTCCCAAGAACTAGAGGGAACCTGAGACGCCAGACTTCCTCCCCTTGGGGCAGATCAGGGTGCAAAGACTAGGGGCTCGCGATGGGCAGAGCAGGAAGCCAGGCTCTGTTGGACTGGCCCGGGGACCCCTCTCCGTCTGGGTGGGCCTCCAGAGGGTCTCCGCCCCCGTCACCGTGGCCTTGCTCAGATCCCTGGTGCACAGCGCCCCCTGCTGACCTCTTTGGGGACAGCAGGGACTGCCTGGGGCCTCTGAGGCCTGGCTTCCAGCTCACCTGAATTAGGGAGACAGGGTCCCCGCCCAGGCCCTGGGTCTTCCCAGGCTTTGACCCCTCACCTCTCTCCAGGGGAGAGGACAGGGCAGCTTTCCATGCCGGCCCCGCGTGGCCACCTTTTGTTTTCCTAGAGCTCCTACTAAAAACCATTTCCCAAGCCGGGCCCTTTGGTATCTTTTCAGTCCCTCCTTTGGGAAGAGCCAGGGAACGGGGGGGGGGGGGGGGTGCGGTGACCACAGGGCTCTCCTCATGGGGATGGCCGTTCCAGAAGAGGAGTACAGGGAGTATGAAGGTGTCCCAGTGGCGACCTGCTCAAGCCCCAGGTCCGGGGGGGCTCTCCTGAAATGGGAACGAGAAGGAGGGCAGGGGTGCGGGGAACATGTCAGCGGGGGGAGCAGTGAACACCCATACCTGGCTTTGGGCAGCTGCAGGTCTCATAGGGCATACATCAGATTCTCTGGCCTGCCCGGGGTCCTGACCCTCTGCCCTCCTCCGGCCCAGGTTCTTCTGCTGGAAGCAGCAGGGCAGCCCGCAGGCCCGGGCAATGATCTGCCAGCCCCCCAGAGCACCCTCCCACCCTGGAACGAGGACTTCCTCCCTGATGCCATCCCACTCGCCCACCCAGGGCCCCGAAGGAGAAGGCCCACGGGCCCAGCCGGTGAGTGAAGGCCTGCACCGTAGGCCCTTGGGATCGAGTGCCCTCACATGGTGTTTTGAAAAACTGAGCTAACGTTTCAAGACTGTGGGGTTTCGCATGAAAATCAGGATTTCTAGAAAGCTTCTCTTAGAAAAATAGAAACTCTGGCCTTTGGGGCTTCAGCCCCTCGTGGAAACCACTGGCTGCCGCCGGGCCACAGCTGCCCCCGCAGACCCCATCCAGACCGTTATAGGGCCTCACCCTTCCGTGTCGTCCCACAGTTGGGTGCATGTCCTCACGCCCTGCCCCACTGCCTCTTAGCATCTGCGCTCAGACCCCCAGCCCAGCCGCAGCCTTCTGGCTCAATTTTACTGGGACCTTTCTGCCTCCCACCACCTTCTGGGGGGTCCTTGCTGAACTTTCTGCTTGTGAGGTTAACTGCTGGGCTAGTTAATAAATATTTTCATATCACCCTCGGCTGCACAGATATCATCTCTAATCATTCCAGTAAGTTTGTAATGCTTGGGGTTCCAGAGGAGAAAACCAAGGCCCAGAGAAATGACCCCTGGGGTCAGCCCACGATCCAGGGGAATATTGTCTCGATGATTCTTGGCCCCACTAGAGCCCTGTGCGGGTGACGCTCTCCCTCCCCCGCCTCTCTCGAAGTTGAGCCCCCGGCTTCTTAGCACCCCTGCCCAGGCTCCGCTCTGAGCTCATACCCTGTCCCCTCCTCACCTCGTCCACCTGTGCCTGGCCAGTCAGGAGAAGGAGCAGAGCAGGGAGGGCACGGCCCCCAGCAGTGGGAGCGTCCGGTGGCCAGGCTTGGGAGGAGCAGACACTCTGGGATCTTCTGACGGGGCTGGAGGCTGTGGGAGGAGGGGTGAGCTCAGGGGTGGGGGGAGCATCTCATTCTGGGTCCCCAGGCCCCTCTCCCAAAGTTTCACGTCCAGGCAGCTGCCCCTTCCTGCCTTCTTCCAAATCGTTCTTCTGGAACTGGGGAGGAGGGGGACTTCCCTGCCCTCAGAAGACCCAGGCCCCAAACCCCCTGTGGGGGAGGCTGGGAGGGGCGCTGGGTCTCCCGGGCCGCTTTCTCCTCACCAGGCAAAGTGCAGTTCCAAGAAATGGCCACCAGGTGGGGCACAACCCCTACAAATGGTGACACCGGGGTGCGCCCTGAAATCCCTGAGAGCAGGTGAGTTGGGCACCCGTGTGCTTTAGGGCTTCCTGGGACCTCCGAGGAGGCCTCATTGGGGAGCTCTGCCACAAGCGCCGTTCCCGACCCTGAGCAGGGAGACAGTAGGACTCCTGAGGGAGGGGCCTAACTCATCCGCAGCCTGGCTCTGGGCCCTTGAGCAAGGGACCACACCTTCCTGAGCCTCAGTTTCCCCACCTGTGAAGTGGGAACACAAGCAGCTCTTGAGATCGTAGGAGTTAATAGGTACAAAAATGGTTTGTAGACTGTAATGAGGTCTCTGCTCCTGGGAGCAGGTCTGACCTGATGGCCCAGGTGGTCAGGCCTGGAGCCCCTCCGTGGCAGCTCGGCCCACAGTGTTCTCAGGGCTCATCTCACTCTCTCCTCAGGGCCCCCGGGGCAGACGGGACCGCCAGGGCCTGCAGGTCCCCCAGGCTCCAAAGGTGACCGGGGCCAGGCAGGAGAGAAGGGCCCAGCAGGGCCTCCTGGTAAGGACCCCCCAGATCCGACTTTGTCCACTGGGGGAAGGGGCTGGGGTTTCTCCCCTGTCTGAGCAGCTGAGGCACCCTGTACCCCTGATCTTGCTGGGGTCAATGACTGCGGTCCTGGGGGTCCCAGGCTCACTTCCTCCCACCAGCAACCCCCCTGCCAACCCTATCCCAAAGCCTTTAGGGCCTGGGCTGACCCTGCAGGAAGAACAGAAGGTTCCGGGAGCTGGGGGTCCAGGCGTGGGGATGGGGCGGCTGGGGCCTGGGGACTCTTCTCAGCCATTGAAACAACACCTCCAGAGAGCCCCCCCAACACCCCCAGGGTCCTGCGGGGAAGGTACAGGTTCTGTGAAGGCAGGTATAGGGTCAGCCCAGGCTGGCTGCCACCCTCAGTGCCCCAACCCCAGAGCTGAGGCCTCTGGAGGGGGCGACCCTGCCTCCCTCACCTCCCACCCAGCGGCCCCGCTGCTGCCCAGGCCAGAAGAGAAAGCCATGTTCACTCACATCCCAGGACAGCCCTCCCAGGAGACTGGTCTGGAGGCCACCACTGACCTGTTTCCCATCGGCGGTGTCAGCTGCCAGGCCCAGCCCTCACATGACTCCTCTTCTCCCGCTGCAGGCCTCTTGGGGCCGCCAGGGCCCCGCGGGCTTCCTGGAGAGACGGGGCGCCCCGGGCCCCCCGGCCCCCCTGGCCCAGCGGGCAGCCCGGGCTTCCCTCCGAACGGCCCCCAGGGCGTCCTCTACTCCCTGCAGCCGCCGACGGACAAGGGCGGTGAGTGTCCCCCGAGGGACGGACCCTGGGGAAGCAGACCCTTAGGGAGCGGGGCCTGGGAGCAAGGCTCTGCCGGGTGGGGTGGAAGGGTCTCTGGGGGCTGACGCTGGCCCTGCAACCCGGCTCTTGGCCCCAGCCTGGCCGGTTCCTGTCCCGGTGCTCAGCTCCTGCCCCTGGGGTCCTGACGCCCCACAGGTCACTCTGTTGTCTGGCCGGCCTCGGTTTCCCCACTCGGTGACAGGAACACAAAGGCAAAGCCTCTGACCTTAGGCCATTCGACAAGTGTTGGTTGAGCACCTGCTGTGTGTCGTGCACACAGTTTTTGTCGCTGGGGATACAGCAGTGAGCAAAACAGCCTCCTGCCCTCAGGGGCCACAGTCTGGTGTTTCTGAACCCAGAAACACCTGCCTACTTGTGGGGAGGGCAGGAACAGAGAGGCCCGGAGAGTGGGGTGGGGAGTGCAAAAGGGGTGTCATCTGGTTAAGTGCCCTGGGAAACGGGGCGAGGGTTCTAAGAAGCAGGTGACAGGGTTGGGTGACATCCCCCTTCTGCTGGTGCTTCTGTCCCCATCTGAGCCTCAGTTTCCCCACCTATAGAGTGGGGGCAGTTAATACTCCCCAATGGAGTTGCTCTGGTGGATGGGAAGGACTCATTCTTGAGCAGAATGGGGGTCCTGGGCTGCCCTCAGGCGAGAGCAGAGCCTTCTGGAGCAAGTGGGAACTCACTGAAGACTCAGAGAGACAAACAGGGCTCAGCCACACACCCCCGGGGCCGCAAGGAGCGGTCCCAGGGCTCCAGCCTGCCCCGGTCTGGGCATGATGCCTCGGGCACTGCCTGCCATCTGGAGTGCTCAGAGCCCTCCTCAAATGGGGCCCTCCTTCCCCCTCGGCCCTGGGGTCCCCAAGGGAGGGCCGGGTGTGCGCTTTGGGAAGAATGGGGATGCCCCAGTGGGGCCCCGCCCGCTGTGAGCCTGTGGTCCAGGCTTCCGGGTGTCGGGGAAAGGGCAGGGGTAGCCACTCCTATGCCAGGCATTTCTTGGGCCTGGCTTCTCTGGGTCTGGCTCTGGGGACCCGGCAGGACAAAGTCACATGGGGCTTGCCCTGGAGAGACACAAATCGCAGGAGCTCGGCCACGAACAGACCCCACCCCTGCCCCAGGCTGAGTAATGGGCCCTGTAGTGGCAGCCCAGGGCCCTGCAACTCAAAAGGATGGGCAGAGAGGGCTTCCTGGAGGAGGCCCCGCAGGAGTGAGCCTGTCAGGTGCATCAAGAAAGGACCTGTGGAGTGGAGTGGGGTGGAGGAGAGTTCTGGCCTGGGACACTGGGGAGGTGAGTAGGGCGGGGCCAGAAATCTGAAGGGCCTAGAATGCTCTGGAAGGAATTTGTGTATTATATGAACCCCTCTGGGCTTTCCCTGCCCTTTGACCTGGCCTCCGTGGGAGGAATAGCATCTGCCTGCCAGGGCATGAGGCCCAGTGGAGTTGGGGGTGCCTGTCCTGGCCCTGGGGGAGCTCAGGTCCAGCAGCCCAGCCCTGTCCCCCCGGGTCACGGGCGGTTCTGCTCTGCCCACAGACGGAGGAGACTCACAGCCGGCCTCTGCAGCCGTGGACACAGTGCTGGCCGGCATCCCAGGGCCCCGGGGCCCCCCTGGCCCTCCAGGTAAGTGCAGAGGGCAGCCGCACAGCCTGGCCGGGATTGGGCACCCCCTCTGGGCTTGGCCTGGGCCAAGGGGCCTTGTGGGGCCGGTTGGGGGGCCCATGGCCTTGGCAGGGTGCTAGGGATTGGCGAGTTCCCTTGCTTCTGGGGGGCAACTCCTTTGTGGGACTGGACACAAGAACCCCAAATGTTTCTGCCTGCTGCCCACAAGAAGCAGCTCAGGGTTGCCCCCATGTGGGCCTGAGTGGGGGTTGCGCCCGGGTACGTGGAGGCCCAGGCCCAGGGGGAGGCAGGGGGTCAGGTCAGCACAGGGCTGGCCCCAGGAGCTGGTAGGGCAGGTGCCTATGAGAGGGGCACTGGGGGCAGGGGATGGTCCTGGGGCTCTAAGGGGCTGGATCCTGGGCCTGGCCTGACTCCCACCCTCCGGGGACCCTCACTGGACGGGAGGAAAGGGGCGTGCAGGGCAGGGGCCAGCCCTGCTTGCCAAGTGTGTGGGTGCCTCGTCCCCCCATCATTCATTTACCCTTTTGTGTAGTCACTGAGCTCTCCCTACTTGGGGCAGGGGTTTAGTTTCTTGGTGTCTTTTAAAAAAGGTGGCATTTGAGCAAATGCCCCGAGGTGAGGGAAGGTGCTCGAAGGGTATCTGGGGAGGGCATGTGCTCTGACTGGAGGGAGGGCATTTTTAACTAGACAGAGTCCAGATCTGTGCCCACCTCGGCGGGGGGGAACTTCCTGCAGGTCCTCCCCCAGCATGGGTACAGCCCAGCAGGGGACTCCCAGAGGCTTCACTGTCATGTGGAAAGTTTAAGCAGGAGCACTGCTCCCTGTGCCGCAACCACCAGACTCAGCCTGACCCTCTGGGTGCTCCCCGGCCCCCAGGGATGGACCTGTAAATCCACCATGGCCATGGGTGGAGGCTGGTCCCTGTCGGGGACTGGCCTAGAGGAGGGGTGAGGGTAGGTGCCACAAGGCTTCCTGGAGGAGGTGATGCTCAGCCTGAGACTAGAGGAGAGACCAGTAGGAAAGAATTTGCTGGGCCTTGGGGGGGATGGAGAAGCTCCAGGAGGAAGGGACAGCATCTGCAGAAGTGTAGAAGCCAAGGAACTTTCCAGGAGAGTAGCTGGGGGCATGAGGGTGGAGGGGGCCCGGCTGAGGACTTCAGGAACCCCGGGAAGGACCTAACGGGAAGGTGGCTCTGGGTGGCCACGTGGAGCGTGGATGGTCAGGACGCTGTTGTAGTAACTCAGGCAAGAAGGGTGGCCTTGGAGGGGTAGGGTCCTAGGTCCAGAGGAGGGGCAGGCCTGAGAGAGATTTGCTGGGAGAGCGGCTGGCTGGCGGGGCTTGGGGGGGTGTGTAGGGCGACCCCATAGATGAGGCTCTGAGAGAAGAGCAGGTTGCAATATAGGGTGGGCAGGGGGCTGGCCCCGGGTGACCATCTGTGACTCTGCCCACAGGTCCCCCTGGACCACATGGTCCCCCAGGACCCCCAGGTGTCCCTGGATCCCAGGTAAGGCCTTGCCCAAAGGGGAGGGGGCATTGTCTTCTGAGAAAGAAGAGCCAGGCTTCTTCCCAGCCTGAGTTGCTGAGGAAGGGGCGGCCCTTGGCTGCCCACCCCCCATGCTGGGGACGTGTTGGCACCCTTCCCATCTCAGAGATGAGCTAATGGGACCCAGAGAGGCCAGGTGCCTCTGGAGGACATACAGGTCACAGAATGTCCACCCCAGCCTGTCGCCCTCCTCCCCAAGAGTCACCTGTGTGGGAGAGAGTGCCCCAAAGCCTGGCGACATGGCCCCAAGCCCCAGCTTGCTCTGCCTCTCCAGCTGTGTGACCTTGGGTGAAGAGACAATCTCTCTGGGCTCCAGCCGCCTTTGCTGCTGAGCAGGGGGTACAAGGCTTCCCTTGTGGGTTGTTAGAGGGAAAAAGGAGGGAAAAAAAGTGCCGGGAGGGGAAGGGCCTCGTGCTGCAGAAGCCCGGGGCCTGGGAAGAAATCACCCCAGGGAGGGGCAGCCCGGAAGCAGAAGGGGAGGGTGTCCTGCTGGTGGGGCTTCCTGCAGTCCCCACCTTAGGGCCCGCCCAGCCCTAGCGCCCCGCTGTCCCTGGAACTCAGGCTCAGCTGGGCGGGGAGGGGGTGCCTAGCGGTGACCCCCATGCTGCAAGGGGCGGGAGTCTGGGCCTTGCCTCTGTAAGTGCTGGGACCTCGAGAGTCCACACACCCCAACCAGCCGGGGTGCCAACAGCCCGAGCTGAGGGTACAGCCCGGCCCGGGGGCCACAGTGCGGCCTGGTAGAGCGTACATTCATTCAGAACCAGGGTCCCCGAATCCTGGTCCACTTCCTGTTGTCCCTGCTGGGGATTTTTACGTCCAGGAGGACGCAGCATGGAGGGGGCAGGCAGGCACACCGGCCGCGGGGAGGGGTGGCCGGGAGCTCTGGCCGGGAACATAGGGGCCCAGAGCCGGCCGGTGGGCAGGGCCTGGGGTCTGGGCGGCCTGGGGCTGCAGAGGTGGCAGGAGGCCCTCAGGCCCGATCTGTTCCTGACTCAGGTACGACAGGCCAGGTAAATGGGGAGTCCAGGCCCCCCAGAGCCAGGCACCCCAGGGGCACCCTCCGAGAGAAGGCTTGTGGGAGTGTGGGTTTCTGTCACAGGGAAAGGGGACTCTGAATCTCAGGGAGGGAGACCCCATGATGTGAAAGTGGAGGTGACAGGTCTGGTGCATGGAACAGATTTGGCAAGAGAGGGAAAGGAAGGTTAGCTCCTGGGCGTGCGTGGGAGCAGCTGGGAGGACAGGGAGCCATCTCCCTAGGAGGGGGCTGCAGAGTGCGGTGGGTTTGGGGGGGCACCCAGGGTTCCACTTGGGGGAGGTGGAGTGGGGCACCCCCCTGTGGGCAGGTGGAGAAGTGGGAGGGCAGCTGGACGCATGGGTTTGGGCTCTGGGGAGCCTTCCGGCTGGACATCAACATGGACAGGAGGCCTCGAGTGGGACCCTGTCACTTGTTCTCTGGGGGGGGGGCTCCCTCTGCGTGCGGGGGGCCTGAGGGCTTTGCCATCTGTGTGACGACCACAACGGCCCATTTCTCAGCTGAGAAGACCGAGGGCCCTGCCGGGGCTCAGGGAGGAGCCAGCGGAGGATGGCCCAGGAGGGGCCCTCCCATCTCCACGCCATCGTCCTCCCATCCTGGGGCAGGAGCGGCTAAGGGGAGGCCGGAGGTGTTAGGGGGGCAGGCAAGGACTCATCTGCTTTGTCTGCCTTTCTGCAGGGCCTGGCCGGAGAGCGGGGCGTGATAGGACCGGCTGTAAGTGGGGGGCTGTGCTGCTGGGCCGTTCCCAGGGCGGTGGGCTCGGGTGCAGGCCCAGGGCACCGGGTGGGTGGAGGGGGGGGGTCTGTCCCGGCCTGGCCTGAGCTCAGCCCCACAGCCACCCCGAACATGGCCCGATTCTACCCTGCCCAGAGAAGGGGCCGCCTGCCTGTGACCCCAGCTGCCCGAGGTGGGAAGGGGTGCCCTTGGAAAGTGGGGAGCCCCTCACTGGGAGTGTGAGCAAGAACTGAAGTAGCCCTCTGGTAGGGGGTTGGATGAGCATCCTCAGGTCTCTTCCGGGGAGCCCAGACCCCTGAGTTAACATGCTGTGTGACCTTCGGAGCTCCTCCCTCCTCTGAACCTTCCAGGAGTAAGGGTGCAGACAGCTGGCCTCGAATTTCCCTCCTTGGAAACAAGAATTTATGAGTCTCCACTCCTGCCTGCAGGGCCAAGGAGGCAGGCACCTCCTCTGTGACCGATTCTAAAGTTAGGGGCAGAGAGCCAGGGAGGAGGGATGGAGCTTTGCTGAACACCTACTATGTGCTGGGAGGGGAGGCGCTCCTCATCCATAGTGAGTTTAAGCTTAGTTGCGACCCAGCAAGGCAGGACTTTATTTTCCCCATTTTTTTTGAGAACTGGCAGCTAAGGCTCAGAGAGGTTAAGTACCTTGCCCAAGGTTGCACAGTGAGGCAATGATGGAGCCAAGATTTAAACCCAGGAGTGTTAGCCTCCAAAGCCATGCCTCCTCCTGGCTTCTCTCTGGTTACAATGGTGATTGCTGTCCCCGAACTTCGGGCACCAGGCTCCAATCAAAACTCATTATCAGTATTGATTTATTTAATCAATACTGATTAAATAAATACTCCCAGGAGGTAGGCAGTATCACCCCGTTTTAGAGATGAAAGCACGGAGGCATAGAGAGGTCAGGTAACTTGCTCCAAGTCACATTGGATATCACGTGGGTATTGTTGTGAGGCCAATATTACTGGCCTTGTTTTAGGGGTGGAGGCAGAGAGAAGCGGGGACTTGATTCCCGGCAGAGCTGAGACCTGAGCTTGCGGGTTTTCAAACCTGAAGCCCAGTGAAGCCCCCAAGCCAAACCATGCCGGGCTGGGCAGGGGTGCCTGGGGCCTTGGGCGCTCCCCTGCTCTGCTCACCCCAGGGCAGGAGTTCCATTGGGTGCAGCTGTCAAGCTCTGGGCCCCAGCACCCCTGTCCCCAGGCTCTGTCTGCCCAGCCTTTCCTAACTCCCTGCCAAGCCCCCATGGTCTGCACGAGAAGCTGCGGAGGGTAGAGAGGCACCCCCACTCACCCCTGCCCTGCCCACATACGCACACACACCGGTGGTTGACTGCACGGTTTTCTTCCCAGGGCGAGCCTGGCGGGAAGGGGCAAGAAGACGACAAAGCTGCTGCAGAGGTAACTGGTCTTGGGGGCTGTGCTCCCCTCCTGCCCCCTCGGCTGTGTCCCGGGGGGAGGGACAGGGCACAGGGCTCTGGGCTACGGGGTGAAGGGGGTCCCTGCCCGCCGGGGGAGGCCGGTGAGTGACGTCATGCTTGCAGCGTAGCGTGCAGATGGGGGACTGGCCCGGGGTCGGAGGACAGGGGCGACCCTGCCGGGGAGAACCCCTTATTTAAGGAGGCTGCAGGCTGTGGAGTCCCTCTCCAGGGACAGGAATCCCCCATGAGCAGCTCCTGGTGCGCGGCGGTGCCCCCAGGGTCATGGCGCTGGTGGCCTGAAGGATACGTGGGCAGGTGGACAGAGGGCTGGTGGACGTGGGAGGGGACAGTGGGGGAGTGAGTGGGAGCAGGCAGGGGCCGGGGCACGATGGGGCCGGGAGGGGACACAGATGGAGCGCGGGCATGGCCATGGGGACCTGCTGTCTTCTGGGAGGGGGAGGGGTGCTGGAGACTGGGGTGATGGATAAACGGGGTGAGGGCAGTGGGGCCGGCAGGGGAGACCTTGCGGGCTGAGAGCAAGAATCCCCTGGGTGTGTCAGAGCTCGGGGGGCGGCCAGCAGAGTGGGCATCTAGGGTTCTCTAATGAGCCAGCCTGGGGGTGACTGGGGAGGTGGGCTGGGATGGAGGGGGGAGGCTGGAGCCAGAGCATCTGTGGTGGGTACAGGAGGCAGCGGGAGGAAGATGTGGGTACAAGGCATGGGCACAGATTCGCAGGGAGATTCGCAGACTTGCAAGGGGAGAGGGAAACGGTACTTAGGACTTCTCCCTTCGCCTTCCGTAAGCCTGCATCCCGTGGCTCAGGGGCATGGGGCTTAGGTGGGGCCCTGAACCCCCATCCCGGACACTGCCGCCAGTGTGGCTTCTCGTGGCCTTTGGTTCGCTGGGGCGGGGGGGGAAGACCTTTCTCCTAACACAGGTCCCTTTTTGCTCTACTTTCGTTTTTTTATTTTGCTTTTTTATAAGTTGGCTCCACGCCTAGCGTGGAGCCCAACTCAGGGCTTGAACTCATGACCCCGAGATCAAGACCTGCTCTGAGATCGAGTCGGACGGACGCTTCACCGTCGAGCCAGCCGGGTGCCCCATCCCTTTGTGTCATTTTAAACTCTGAACGTCAGGACAGAGCTGTCATGTTATGCCAGCAAGAGGCGCTGTTCTGGGACTGACTTCAGCGCGGGGCCTGAGCCCCTCACCATCACTTGCCTTTTCCAAGTGGCCTTGACACCTGTCTTCTCAATAAATCGGCTCACTGACAGGTCTCGGTGCCCAGGGTCCTCTGCCCGTGTGTAGGCTGGGTCCCCAGACATGGCCTGTCCTCACTGTGCCCTCGTGCTGACGTTCCAGGAGCAGCGGCTCTCCCTTCGCTCTCTCTTGCTGGGGCGGCCACACCTGGAGAGCTCTCAGGAGACCCGCGAAACACCCCCACCCATGCTAGGTGCTCTGCCCTTGGCAGGGCATTTTCCAGAAAGAAGGGCGCCCGGGGGAAGCAGCCGGGCAGCCCCCGGAGCAGGAAAAACCGAGGCGTGAGGGGGATGGGTCTGGGTGTGAAGCCAGGCTGTGTGGCCACAGGACCCTGGCTACCCTCTCTGTGCAGCAGGTTTCTTGTCTGCAAACAAGAGTGCAAACCCCACGCCTGGCACGTGGGTATCCAAGCTGGGACGGCTGTCGTACTGAGAGGGTGGGAACAAAGGGGGAGGAGGCAGGAGCGGGGAGGGCTGGGATGACATGGCCTGTCTCTGTGGCTGGCCTTGACCCTGGCTGCTTCCTCCCCGCCAGGGTGAGGGGGTACAGCAGCTGCGGGAGGCCCTGAAGATCCTAGCAGAGAGAGTCCTCATCCTGGAGCACATGATTGGGATCCATGGTGAGTTGCGACCAGGGCCTGGGGCCAGCCGGACCTGCAGCTGGCCGTGGAGTTGGGAAGCCCCGCTGCCCCCGCCTCCCCAGTCCGTGCCGCCTTCTGGGCTGCCTGCCTCGACGACACCTCCACTTGGCTGCCAGATGGCCTTCCCCAAACCCCAGGCGGACCCTACCCTGTGCCTCCCCTGCTCAAGGACCCTCCGTGGCTCCCTACTGCCCGTGACCGATGTCCAGGCACCTCAAGGCCCAAGTCCCTGCCCAGCAAGGCCTGGTGCCCGGTGACTTGGAGCCACCACCTAGTCATCCCAGGCCCTCCTCGCTCCCGTTCCCACCTCCGTGCCTTCGCTCAGGCCAGTCCCTCCACCGGCTGACCACCAGCTCCCGCTTCAGGGCCTGCTCTAGGGTCTCTTCTTCTGTGAAGGCACCCTCCTTTGCCCCACGGTGCCCTGCAGAGCCTCGTGCTCGCTGATGGGGTGGGAGGCGCTTGCGGCAGGTGGGGACCGGCAGCCCTGCGGGGCCTGGAGCCCAGCCCCGGGCAGCCCTGGTCGCAGGGCGAGCAGGCGGACACCTGAGGGCGTGGGTGCCCGCGTGACCAGGGAGCCGGCTGCTGTCTTGCCCTGTCCTCGCTGGGCATCCGGCTTCCTTGCTGGCTGGGCGCCAGAAGCAAAGGGGGCCTTTGAGGGCTCTCGACGCCCTGCGTGAGCCCACCCTCCTGCTGTCCTTCCAGATCCCCTGGCCTCCCCCGAGGGGGGCTCTGGCCAAGACGCCGCCCTGAGAGCCAACCTGAAGATGAAGCGTGGTGGCTCCCCGCCTGACGGCACGCTCGCTGCCCTGCTCGGCCCCGACCCCGGGCAGAGGAGGGCTGGCCGGGCCGGCGGCGGCAAATGAGGGGCCAGCTCTCCAGGACAAGCCCCGGCCCTGCCAGAGAGCCGGCCCGGAGGCCTGTGTCGCCCGGCTGGCTCCTGTAGACACCCCAAGTGGGCCTGGGCTCCGGACACTGACGATTGTAAGGGACACTGGCTCCCAGGGCCTGGGGGGACTTGGGGACAGATGGCAGCTCCAGAGGCAGGGTCCAGGGGGCCCCAGCACCCTTGGCAGGGCCCTTTGGGGGTCCCTGCCCTCCCCACCCTCACTTTCTGCAGGAGACAGGATCTGGGTGGGCTGGGCAAGGCGTGAGAATAATCCTAATACTCATCATTTACTGAGTCTGGGCCTATCCAAGGAGCTTTCCCTGCACCGTCTCATTTAACCCTTAGGAGGTAGGCTTGATACCCCCACTTTCCACGGGAGGACGGAGGCCCGGCGAGTGTAACTAACCTGCCGAGGCCACGGGACCAGGGACAGCTGGGGCAGGATTTGAACCCAGGCCCCCCGGTTCCTTAACCCTTGACCGTGCCAGGTTCCTGTCTTCACGGAGAAACTCAGGGTGGGCACAGGGCTGGGGGGCGGGGCGCTGGACTGGCCGGCAGGGTCCTGGGCCTCCTTCCTCAACCCCCGTCCCCGGGCTTGGGGTCTGCTCCGGGGTCTGGCAGCGCCAGGGAGACCCTGAATAAACCTGGGACGCTCCCACGGACTTGGGGAGAGTGAGAGAGGGGCCCTGGGGCGCAGGACCCTTCCAACCAAACCGGCACTGCCCCCCGCTGCCTCCCAGCCTCAACCCACCCAGCCCAGCAGGGCCCTCCTGCCCCTGAGCCCAGAGGAGGGAGTATTTCTTGGGACGGCAGCTCTGCCCTCTCTGGGAATCTCTAGGGTTGGCCATTTCTGCAGCATATGGCAAGTCCCACGTCCCCTTGACCACCTAGAGACAGGACATTGTCCGAGTCCCGGGCCCCGTCGGGAGAGACGCTGCCCCCTTCAGGGCCGTGGGCCCAGGCAGCGGGCTCCACAGCAGACGCCCGGGGCCGGGGACCCCAGAGCAGCTCAGACCACAGCCCTCAAGGCGTCTCAGGCCATGGGTCCCCTGTGACCCAGACTGGCCCTGGTGCTCCTCTCTTGCTGGGCCAGGACCCCGTCTCAGCCGCTGACTCAGAGGTTTGGGTGCCACCCCGGGTGGTGTCTCCCCTCAGGGCAGGAGCTGTCTGTCCCCAGCGTCCTTGGTGCTCCCGGGAGGTTGTGGCCAGGCCCCGGCCACCTTCCCCTGCCCCACGCGAGGCAGGAGCGGCCTGGGGGCCGAGGTGCGGCAGTCAGAGGCGGGCGGGAAGTCTGGAATTCTCCGACAATAAAGGTGCTCTCCCCACCCCGGGGCTCCGGTGTCCTGCGGCGCTGCTGGTGGGGAGGCCTGGGAGCCGGGCTCCTGGCCACAGAGACGCAGGTGCTGAGGGAGGCCATCCCTGGAAGTTTCCCATCTAGGGACGGTGTGGTCCGACGTGAGGACGGTGCCACACACACAGCACAGGACATGGCTGTGGGCCACCGCAACCCAGCAGGGGGGACACCTAATCTGTCGGGGGCCAGGGGAGGGGCCGTGGAGGAGAAAAGGGTCTTCAGGGGTCAATGGGAGTCGGCTAAACAGGAAAGGGCACTGGAGGCAGGGGGGACAGCCTCTATAAAGGCTTGGTGGGGCGGAGGAGGGCGGCTCATGGGGGAACCCCTTGTACAAGGCCCCCCTTGTGCCCAGAGCGTACCCACAGGTGCGGGAGGCAGGGCTGTGAGCGCCTCCCCTGGAGGGCTGAGCCCCTTTTTCTTTCTATAGGCCACCCTCTGAGCTCACTGGGCGTCCCCACCCCTGGCCCTGAGTAACCCCCTGTGTTGGCTGAAGCCTCAGCCAGGGAACGGTGCAGCCCCTGGGGCTCCTGCAGGACTGCACGCCCTCTGACAAGCTGAGCCATCCCCTGCTCAGGGAAGCCGGTCAGAAGGCATCTCCTTCTCCCAGACCCGCGGTGGAGAAGCCATGCAAGACTATCTGCTTTGCCCAGGACACCGAAATGTGCTGCCCCATGGCCCTCAGCTCAGGCTCCTGTGTGGGCCTCTCCCCCCGCACGTCTCAAGGGCAGGCTGCTTCCCTGTTGGCATCTGCATTCTTAAGACCAGGGGACTGTCACTTTTGGCCGGTGTGGACGGAGCGTGGACCCGCAGGGTGGGTGTCCACACGTGCGCCTAAGGCCCCTCGGCCCAGGACAGCAGTTAGGAGGGAGGGGGGGCTTCCGAGGACCAAGGGCTGGCGCCCCCGGGGCCAGCCCATTTTAGGGCAGAGCCCTGAGAGGTCAGGATTCTGAAGTCAGCCCGGCCTTCCCAGTCCTTGTAAAGGATATTTGTCAAAGTAGGAGCATACAGCATATTTTATTTAAGTTGGTTAACTCAACATGTAACTTTTCAATATTTAGATACATGGGACCCCTTCGTTTGTCCCCTGGCCCTGGATCGTGCAACTGTCTGGGGCGGGCCCTGGGGGGCTAGGCTAGCAGAGTCTGGAGCGAGCGAGCCCCTGGCACGGGGGCAGGACCGGATGCCCAGGCGCTCCCAGGTCGCTGGGAGTGGAAGGGAGTGCGGGAGGGAAGCAGCTCCAGGTGGGAGGCCCCAGTCCCTGAGGGCCAGGGCTGGGGGACGGGGTCTCCTGGGGGAGGTGGTCACGAGCCAGCCCTTCATAAGGATGAGGCCAGGCACCGCGCCAAACACGGGGCGTAGGTCACCTCGCTTTAGCGTCAGAACCACCTTCCCCATTTTGTGGAGGGTCCGCGAAGGCCCAGAGAGGTTGAGCGGCTTGCTCAAGGTCACACAGCCGGCTGGTGGCGAAGCAGGGTTTCAGGACAGGTCTGAGACTTGGTGAGGCCAGGCTCTTGGCTGCTGTGGCTCCGGGAGGCAGATGGCATGCACATAAACCGGGAGCCTGAGGCATGGCCCTGCCGGGAGGGGCAAGTGTGAGCAAAGGCTGCTGCCGGCCGAGGAGCAGCACAGATTCGGGGTGCGGGACAGAAGGAACGCTCACGGGAGGACCGAAGCGGCTGCCGCGTGCCAGATCTGGGAGGACCTCGAATGCTGGAGGGGAAGGGAGCTGGCCCACAGGGGACCGGCTGCTACAGCAGGTTCTCGTGGTCAGTCTGGCCCCTCCCGTCCATCTGGCCCGGAGAGGGCTCCCGCTGAAACACAAGCCTGCCTGCGCTGCCCCCTGCTCAGGGATCTGGGGTGGCTGCCCTGTTCCCGGCCCTGCAGTGAGGCTCTGCAACCTGGCCCTGTTGCCAGGGTCCCATCCTCCCTGCTGCAGGTGGCACGTACCGCGGCACCAGCCCGGCAACGGGCCAGAGCTTCTCTCCTTGGCTGGCCTCGTCTCTGTCTGGTCTGTGGGTGCTGGCTCCCCAGCCACGTGAGGGCCCCGGGTGCTTGCAGGACTGGGGGTTGGTGGGGGGACAGGTTGGAGGGGGCGTGGTCTCGCACTTAGAGCCCCAGGGGCAGCGCGGCTCTCAGATCTCGGCTCTCAGCTTTGGACAAAATCCTCAGACGCATCCCCTCCCCTGACTCCTGCAGCCCAATGAGACCAGTTGGGCCGCTCCGGCCCTCGCTTGTCTCATATTGTGTCTTTGTGCTCATGGGTGGAAACTCCAGCCTGCACCCTCTACACTCCACTTACAGGTCCCAGTGGTGACTCAGAATGGACCGGCAAGCCACCCAGAGTCCCCCCTCCCAGGGTGCCATTGCGGGGCCTCCAGGACCTGCAACTGCCCCTCTCCCCCCAGCGCCCCGGGGGAGGGGCTCATGAGCATCATCAGCCCAGTGCAGGAAGAGAGGCAGGGAAAGGAGCTCCCACCCCTGCAGGCCACCCAGGGGGTTAATGAGGGAGCATTAGCACAGGCCCACCCCCTCACCTCACCTCACCCCAACCCCCCCCCAGGGGCTCCCTAAGTCTGCTCTGCTCTCTGCCCACCCTTGGGGCACTGCTTCCTGCACACACCTCTCTCCTGTGTCTAAATCAAACCCGACATTTCTTCTCCAACACTGCCAGGCTCCAGCCCCTGGTATGTGTGTGTGTACACATGGGCACAGATGGGCAGGAACTGCTGACTCTGGCCCTGGGCCCCAGCCCCAGCCTTCGTGGCTCTGTCTACCCCACCAGGCTATGACCTTCTGGTGGGCAGGGACACCTCTGTGTCCCCAGTGCCCCGCTCTGATCACCGCAGTGAGTCACAGGACATCCCCAAAGGGAGAAAGACTCCTTCCCAGTCCCTAGGAGGAGTGACCGAAGTGGTGCACAGGGGGCAGGCGGATATCTGAGATGGGCCCAGGTCAGAAGAGCAGTCCCCTCCCACCCAATTATCCCACACCTGCAATCCCAACCACCCCCTGAGGTTTCTGGAACTCCTCTCTCCCAGCCCTGTTTTATGGATGATAAAAAAGAGGATTTCATGAGATTTTCAATTACTTGAATTCCACGGAGATTTATTTCCAATGTTACTAATAAATTCTAACGTCACCTATAACTTTCAATTGCCAGTTAATTAACTTGCAATTGGTGCATTGTAAAAGGCAAATTAAATACTTTCTCAGGCAGGGGCTGGTAAATCTAATGAGCTGGTGTGCCCCGAAGGAGACAGCGGGGCTCGCCCGCTCCAGCCGCGCCTCCCTCCTTGTTGATGGGTTGCGGCATGGGCGAGGGGACAGTGGGGCCTCTGCGTCCTCATCTGAAGATCACAGAAGCTGCTTCCAGAACCCTCACGGTATCTGGGATTGAAGCTGTTTTTTTTACCCGCCGATAAATGCCACCAAGGTGTCCCGAGCGGTAAGCGGAGTCGCGAGTCCTCGCCCTGATACCGCGGGCTGGGTCACTGTTCGAGCTCCCGGGGCTGCCGTGCCAGATGGCCAGGTACGTGTCCTGTCACAGCTCTGGAGGCCAGAGGCCAAAATCAAGGTGTCGGCAGGGCTGTGCTCCCGCGGCAGGCGCTGGGGGAGAATCCGTTCCTTCCCCTTTCCAGCTTCCAGCGGCTCTGGGCGTCCCTCCCAGCTGGTGGCTGCCCTGTCCCCACATGGCCTCCTGCCCTATGTCTGTCTTGTCCCCTGGGTCTCTTACAAGGACTTGTCATTGGATGTGGGGCCCAGCTGGGTAATCCGGCAACCTCTGAGGCTCAAGATCCTTACCTTAATTATATCCTCAAAGACGCTGTTTCCAAATACGGTCACACGCAGAGGTTCCAGGGATGAGCACTTGGACATACAGTTTGGAGGCTGTTACGACAGTGACCTGGGGCCCGTCGTTTAACCTCTCGGGGCTTCCGTCTTCCACCACATTAAACAGAGGGCTGAACTCATCACAGCAGACGCCTACCATGCGCTGCCCTGACAGTCCCACGGACGGACTCA